CACCCTGCCGCCCGCCCCGCCTGCCCCACCCCACACACAGCAGACCTGGATCCTGCGCTGGGGCGGCCAGCGGCTGGGGATTACGCTGCCGCCAGCCCCAGGCAGGGCGGCGCAGCGGGATCTGCCTGCAGTATGCAAATTAGCCGCCATCTTTGTTGGTGGTTAATTTACATATTGCGCTGATTAGCCAATGGGAGGCGTAGCGAAGGTACGTTCAATTAACATGTTTGTCTATTATTAGATAGGATCAGTGCAGTTATAATCATAATATTGAATTTTCCAGTGAGAAAACATGGACTATTTCCCTAGGTATCTCTATTCATTTTATTCTTTTAAAATATCTTATTAAATATCACTCAGTAAAGTTTAACAATCTCTATATATAAAAGCCTAAGCAACCGTTACAACCAGTTGACCGAACAACTGGTTAACCAAACGACCGGTTGACTGGTCACTATGATGATGCACTGACCACCAGGGGACAGACACTCAACACAGGAGCTGCCCTCCTGGTGGTCAGTGTGCTTCCACAGCCAACCTCCTGCGGTCCCTCCCTCCGGCTGGCTGGGTGGTCAGTGTGCTTCCACAGCCAACCCCCCATGGCCGGCCAACTTCCTGTGGTCTCGATCGGCCTGATCGCCCTGATTGACGGCCAGGCTGAGGGACCCCACCCATTCACGAATTCATGCACCGGGCCTCTAGTATCTTTATAAAAGTCCTGTACATTACAAAGTACTTTGTATATTTAATGGTAGCAGAAATGATATTTAAAATGCTTGTTTATCTAATTTTCTCAATATGTGTTCCTATAAATAAATATGAAAATTATTTGTCAATTTGAATTTCAAAAGATAAAAAAAATATGAAGATATACTTGACCTAAATATAACTATGCTAGAAATAGGGTTTTTTTAAAAAAAAGTATATTTTAAAATATACTTTTAATTAACTTATGAACCAAAAACTAAATGATAATGGCAATTAAAAGATATTTTAAAGTGAATCATAAAAATGTAATGTTTCATATGTTGCTAAAGCAGTGCTTTAAGATTAATGTACAACCTTCAATACATTAATGTGTTAGAAACTAATAAATACATGTATTAGAAAGAACTCAAATTTCATGTTCAAATTATATTATCTTCCTAAATTTGCAGCCTCCTTTGTTTGTTTATTTCTGTCTGTTTACTTGTTTTGTTTCTTATTTGCATTTTGTTTTTTATTTCCTTCTGATATCATTCAGCAAATGAAAGCTAGCTAGCAACATGAGGCACTTTAACTTTTAAACCAGCAATAGAGTGACATGACCCACTTTAGCCATTAATGCAACAAGTATAGGTAATAGGAAAGTACCTCCTAAAAGATAGTTCGTTTTGTGGGATAAAAGTTCTATGGCTAAAAGAAGAAAAGTCTATTGCTAATGTCATTGGTTTGTCCAGTGCTTTCTGGGATACTTTCCCTCTACTATTATCACTCTTATTCTAGAAATTTTTCATTTTTCCCTTTTCAACTCCTTCCAGATCTATCTTTTAACACCCACACATTCAATCTATTTCTTCCTTAAACTGAATGTTTATTTTAATAACCGTCCATAGGATTGCCATCTTTACTAAAATACATAAGCTACATATTTTATGTACATACAAATATTTAGGGGAATAATAGTAATGAAGGTAGCATACCTCATCAAAGATGACATATCTCATCCTTTTCACCCACTTTTGATTACGAGGTGATAACAAGAGTATTTCCAAGCACTGAGGCACTGTCACCAATATCTGTTTTTTTAAAAAAAGGAAACAATTGACTTGATTTTTTTTAATCTCAAGCTTTAACTTCTTTTTATTGTTGACACTATTACAGATGTCTCCCATTCCTTCTCTTTTCTCTCCTCCACTCAGACCCCACCCTTCCCTTCCTTTTAAACATCAATAAAATATTTAGATGACACAATATGTTCATATAAGCATTTCCATTAAAACAACCATCTCATCTGTGGAAAAATAAAACAAATGTGAGTAACAAATACATGTTGATATATTTAAAAAGTTAAGCTTATTTCATTAAGAAACATTCTCCTACATTGGGAATATAAAATCATCACAGTTTGAAACCATCACCATTGAAATATTTGAAATTTCATCATATTGAAATTTCAGAAAAGCATGTTATTTATTATAGAAAATACAATTTATTGAAAGTTAACCACTTTATTAAGTAAAAATTATATAAACAATGTTAAAATATAAATATATTTTACAGGGTAATTGTGAATTTAATTTATCCTCACATTAAAACCTTGTAGTGCCTACCAAAGTGCCTTAATACGCATTATTATTTATTATGCACTCATGTCGGTGACATACCTGACAATTCAAGGTGTCATGACGGTAATCTCTTGTAAACACTCCACACACCACTAGTCCTTTTGGCAGTGCTTTGGTAAATAGACTGCAGATAGTTCCTACCACTTGATTAACAAGAGCCTTAAATCATAAAAGACACAATGTGCTATTCAGTAATTATTGACAACACTGAACAAATTGTTTAAAGTAAACTAGTATCTGGAACAACTTTACAAGCAAAAAGTACAGTACCAATTTTATGTAACTCTTTCTTTTTTTTCTTTAATCCTCACCCAAGGATATTTTTCCATTGAATTTTAGAGAGAGTGGAAGGAGGTAGGGGGAGAGACAGAGAGAGAGAAACACTGATGTGAGAGAGACACATCCGTTGGTTGCCTCCCGACTAGGGCCAGGGATCGAACCTACAACCAAGGTACATGCCCTTGACCAGAAAAGAATTGAACTGGGGCCCTTCAGTCTGAGGGCCAATGCTCTATCCACTGAGCCAAAGAGGCTAGGGCTATAACTCTTTATATATAGAAGATTCACGCAATAAGCCTTCCTTCCCCTGGCTGCCACACCGGTTTTCCTCCGCCACCCGGGACCCAGGCTTTTGGTCCAGCCGCAGCGAGGCTTGGCTTCTCCGCTGTGGCCCCAGAGAACCTTGGCTTCAGTCTTCAGTCTTCACTCTGCCCAGACCCTTCAGTCTTGGCTCCCCGCCTGCGTATGCACATTAACCGCCATCTTTGTTGGGTTAATTTGCATAGTCGCTCTGATTGGCTGGTGGGCATAGCGGAGTGACACCAATTTGTATGTTTCTCTTTTATTAGTATATATATTTCTATTGATTTCAGAGAAGGAGGGAGAGGGAGAGATAGAAATAGCAATGATGAGAGAGAACCATTGATTGGCTGCCTCCTTCACACCCCACAGTGAGGATTGAGCCTCCTTCACACCCCACAGTGAGGATCGATGTACCCTTGACTGGAATCAAACCTGGGATCCTTCAGTCTGTAGGCTGATGCTCTATCCACTGAGCCAAACCATCTAAGGCTATATAACTCTTTCTTGTAAGTACCACACGCTAACAGATTGTGCCACTGAAGCTCCTAACTCTTTCTTAATAAAAGAATTACTTGCACAAATGCTTCCCACTGGTTCCATTTTAAAGTTTTCCTTAATGTATAATAAATCACAGTTCCTATTAATGTGATGGCAAAAAACAATAAGCAAAAATCTATGCCACACAAATGGGATATATATTTGAACAGGTGAAATCAGATGATGAAATTTTATTTAAAATTCTAATTGTTTCTCCAATAATCTGCACATTACTTATCTTCCCTGAGCCTCAATTTTCTCATGCATAAAGTGAGAGGACTGGGTCATAGGACAGAGATGATCCCTCTCAACACTGGCATTCTGAATTTCTTCTCTCACTGCATCTTTAAGGCCTGCAATGAAGTGTTCTCCTTGGGAAAGAGAGAGGAAGGAATATGCCAAATCCCTTCAAGATGAGGAGAAAAATTCTGTTTCAGCCAAGAGCCTCTAGACATCATTTTACACAGGTTGCTATAAAAAAGAAGCCTATAGAATTTGCAGTAATCAGGGGTTATTCTACAGAGCATGAAAGCAAAATGAGAATGGCTGTTTTTCCCTCTCCCACTTTCTTTTATGAACTTATCTATCCTCTCTTAACCCTGGCACAGATATCAAATGGTTTCTTTGAGCAAAATTCTCAAAAGTGTTAAATCCTTATTTTTAATAATGCTGGACCTAAGGAGATTTAAGCAATAAAATGAATAAAAAATAAGGTTGAATGATACCATTTATCGGTCATTGTTTACACCCAGACATATTCGAAGATGCCTTACATACATCATCTCCCTTAATGCTTAGAATAAAAGTACCACAGCCCTCCCCATCCCTCCTTATCCACAAAGCATATGCTTCCAGACTCCCAGTGGGTGCCTGAATCCGGGGGTAGGAGTGAGCCTTATGTACAGTACTATGTGTTTTCCTATGCATGTATGCCATTTCACTTGAAGGAAGCATTTTACAGCTTCTCTTTGGCATACCCAAATTGCCAGGGTCACTGCTTTTGCACTTGGCACTGTGGGGCCATTATTAAGTAAAATAAGGTTACTTGAATACAAGCATTCTGATACCTTGACAGTTAATCTGATAACCAAGAGGGCTGTTAATGGACAGGGAGCGCATACAGCATGGATACACTGGATGATTCATGTCCTGGGCAGGACAGAATGCAAGACTTCATCATGCTACTCAGAACAGCACACAATTTAACACTTAGGAATTGATTATTTTTGGAAATTTTCATTTAATATTTTTGGACCATGGATGACCATGGATAACATAAACTATGGAAAGCAAAACCATGGATAAGGGGGGACTACTGTAAAATGTAAGCATTTTTATCCTCTTTTTACAGGTAGAGAAACTGAGGTAAGAAACTAGCTCAAGACCACACAGCCCACAAGCACTCACATCCATGACTGAAATGCTGGAGTCTGTCTGCTCTCGTACCTCCCCAGGATTAAGGGCACAAACTATAGTTGAGGAAAATTACAGTAAGATACAGTGTCATATGCACACAATACCTTTGTTGGAGCAACATACACAATCACCCCTTCATCACTCTCTCTCAGGATTTTCTCCATGCAGTAGTAAGAAGCATAGGTTTTCCCTGATGATGTCGGGGCAACAATTACAGCAGATTCATTGTTATCTACCACATCAAGAAGTTCCCTCTAGATTTAAAAACAAACAAACACATTTCATTTTGAAAATATATACTTAGTGTCAAATTTTAATTTAAAAACAACTATATTTCAGGCAAAGTGGATGCTCACAGTTCCTTATGAGACATAGGAGGGTACAGGATGGCATAGATGCAGAGAACAGACTGACAGCTGTCAGAGGGGAAGGGGAGGGGTGCTGGGTGAAAAAATGAAGGGATTAAGCAAAAAAAAAAAAAAAGAATAAAGAAAAAATAAACATCATAGACAGACAACAGTATGGTGATTACCAAAGGGAAAATGGGGTGGGGGAGGTAGAGAGAGTAAGGGGGGTAAATGATGATGGAAGGACACTTGACTTGGGGTGGTGAACACACAATGTGATGTGAACCAACTGTTTCCATCGAGTTCCCTCACTTTTCCACGCTGCAGATCTTTTCAGGAAATACCTGCCATGTGTCTGGTATAAAATGATGCACCCTGGGATCTGGATCACTTCTTTCTTCTCGAAGTAAGTAATGGCCCATATATGTTAACTGAAACCGAGCTGCTCCCATACAAACTGAATATTTAGAAATATCCTTCTCAGCACTTGATTCCTGTACCTGAGTAAATATGACATATTAGATTTTCATGTTTACAATTTTTATCCTGGGCAAGGAAATTACCAATCATGGTGTAGTTTGCTTCAACAAGATTATTTTATGTTTTACAAGTGTTCAGAAGTAGCAGTGAAGAGTAAGATATAGATACTATATCTTTTACTATAATTTTAGATACCATTTTATGTGCAGTACCATGTTTTATAGAATGTAAGTAAAATGCAGTATGAAGTTAATCTTTTAATTATAAATCAGCATAAACTTTGAATATTGTTAAATATGAACAATTCCCTACACACACACATACACATACACAGAATAAAATATGTGTTTAAATTGAGGACAATAGCACCCCTAGTACAAATATTTTACACACTCGCATATATGAATGTCATGTAATACTTTCTATAGCACCTACCTGAGGATATAATGAGTGTGCCAAGTTGTCAAATCCAACGTATTTTAAATATTTGGCTAATTTTCGTCGATCTGTATTTTTTAATAGTTCTGAATGCTTTTCATGGATTATATGAATCCTTTTCATCAAGTTAATTATTATGTTCATATCTCTGGATTCTGTTTCTGTTTAAAAGAAACATTGTCATACATAACAAGTTATACAAGATGTTGATAATAAAACCCCAAAGCTGATTTAATTTTATTGCAGGATAAGAAAAGCATAATCATATGAATCACTGATAATAACTGAGGAATTCATAGTTACTAGTCAATTACATTACAGTGAAGAGCGTGGCCTCAAGTAAGAGTAGGATTGTCAGCTTTAGTAAATAAAAATACAGGCGATACAATTTGAGATATATATTCATGACATTTACTTACAGTAAAAAAAAAATTGCTATTTATCTGAAATTCAATTTTAACCTGCCTGTATTTGATTTAGGAACTTCAAAAGTTCCATTTCTAAACTTAATTTTCTTTATATAGTAATTGGAGACATTAAGTCTCACCTCATAAGGATTAAATAAATTAATTTATATAAAATGATACAATAATGGCAGCAGTTATTATTAACCATAAGAATTAATACGGAGAATGAATGAATGGACATTTTTAAATTCTTTTTGTTGTTATTAATCCTCTCCCAAGAATATTTTTTCCATTGATTTTTTTAGAGAGAGTGGAAGGGAGAGAGGGAGGAGAGAGAGAAACATTAATGTAATAGAGACACATCAATTGGTTGCCTCTCACATGTGACCCACAAGGGCCGGGTTTGAACCTGCAACCCAAGTAGGTGCCCTTGACCAGGAATCAAACCCTCAACCCTTCGGTGAGCAGGCCGATGCTCTAACCACTTAGCACACCAGCCAGGGCAACATTTTTTTTTTCTTTTAGTATTTACTTTCCTGTGAACACAATTAAAAGATAAATATCTTTCATTTTCTCTCCAATCAAAAATATTCATTCTTTGGTTCTCATCCAAACACTGTTGTGCCCAAATTTACTAATTATTTAATTTGTGCATACCTCTTGGAGTAAGGATGTTGTATTAAAGTTCTTGCTCTGTCACTGACATTTGGGCATGTAATTTGTACTCCGAGAACCTCAATTTCTTACATGTAATATTAGGGTAATGGAACCACCTCAGAGAATTGTGAGAATTTATATACATATACAAGGTGTCCCCCCAAAAATGTATAACACTTTAGCAGCTAATAGCTCAATTTTGAAAATGCAATGCATTTTAATAAACACTGCCTTTATAATTATTAAAAATGTGTATACATTTCTTTGGGACACCCTATATATGCTAGGCCCTCAAATAATATTTTATTCGACATCATTTCATTATTATGTTAACGAGGTGCCTTAGGAACTTAACTCCAGTTAATATCAATTAGCCTGTAGTAAAATTAGTTTCACTATACATTGATTTTCTTAAAGTCACAGAACCTACAGATGACTTTACATGAAAATTTACTGTATATAGCTTTGGTTGTGGTTATCAACACTGTGTTGCAGTTAGTTCAGCATGTGCCTGAGTCCCTTAGGAGACTATCATTAAGCACCTTCAGAGCAGGTCCTATGCTCTTCTGGTCGGAAGCCCATGGACACCTAATAAGGTACTCAGCTCATGACTGACCTGGAAGAACTATTTACTGAATTGAATTTCAGGTAAAATCTATTCACCAATACGCATCACATTCACACATAGCCATGTTATTAGTGAATCAAACAAAAGGAAATCTTCTTACCCTTTAGACATCAAGAGTTTCCAAAGTCATACAGGCCAGAAGAATCAGTATATGTGGCCAATATCAACCCTTTTGCTCTGTTCTTACTGACCTTTTATTTCAAGATATTTCTAAAAGTAATATTTTATGTACCTGGTTTTGAACAGCATTCCATCCATAATTTGAAACAGGCATCCAATCCTACCATTTCTGCAGCAAATTTTACAGATTTAACAGGGCATGTTTGGAGAAAATCTTCTAGTTTTTTTATTCCAGAATTAGGATTTTCTTTCATTTCCTTTTCAATATATACTGACAAGTTTTTCCATCTTTCTTCCTCTTTTTTCTCTAGTTTAGCTAGCTGTCTCTTTTGGTTTTCCTCAATAAATTTTTCTGCATTTGTCTTTAAAAAAATAAGAAAAATCAACAGTAAAACAAATGTTTCCACGATAATACATTTGATTTTTTTTCAATACACAGCTTTTATTGCATCTTTAAAATGTCACAAAGAAGTCTGAGGAATCATTTGGCATCTTGCTGTTTCTACAGCTGGACAGCTTAGATCATATATTCATCAGTCTGCTGAACTGTTCCCTTTTTAGAACATAGACACTGCCTGGTTTGCTGAATCAAAGCAGCTAAATTTTATACAAGTCCAATGCCATTTCCTTCAAGAATTAACTCATCTTTCTGAGCTTGAGCTACTCATCTGACCTCTGCAGATATACTTTTCACCCAAGAGATTTCCAATTTCAATAAGAGAACCATCTTCCTGAGTAACAATCTCAATGGGGAAGTGAGTAGACAAAGACATTGTTCTGTAAGGGAAGCCCAGTGTAACACCCTTGCTCATGTTCTGTACATGACTACAGATAGTGCAAATAGTAGCCACTTCCTCTCTATTTCCCTCTATTTGGACTATCTGGAGCCTCTTCTTTTTCTTTCCAAGGAGACTGAGTTCTACATTGATGTGATTGACGTCCCTTTGCAGGGTGCCTGGGGCCTTTCATAGCAACTGTGTGTCCCTTCACAGCGATGTCCGCATTTTCTGGAATGTTGACAGTCTGATTGCTGAGAATGGTCTTCCTCTTCTCAGTAGATGTGGCAAAGAGAGAACGTCTTTAAATACAATGTTTTTTGAAAGAAGTATTTAATATCTTAAGCCACCAGTTCACTACTTAGCACATTGAAGTAGAGTATCATCGAGGACCTTAGGTGTTCTGAATAATTAAATGTAAACATCTATATTTATACAAGCATGATAATTCAACATTCCCTTCTTTCCTCTTTCTATCCTGAGCTATCACTTTCTTTATTTTCTTACTTTTTTATTGTTTTTTTAAATATATATTTTATTGATTTCAGAGAGGAAGGGAGAGGGAGAGGGAGATAGAAACATCAATGATAAGAGAGAATCACTGATTGGCTGCCTCCTGCATGTCCCGCACTGGGGATCAAGACCACAACCTGCAACCCTGGCATGTACACTGACTGGAAGAGAACCCTGACCTCCTGGTTCATAGATCAATGCTCAACCACTGAACCACATTGGCTGGGCTATTTTTTTTAATGGTGACACTATTACAAATGTCCCCCATTTCTCCTGCCTTTGGCCACATCTATCCAGCCCCCACCCCCCTCCCTCTGGCCATCACCACATTGTTGTCCACAGGCTATACATATACAGTATATTCTTTAGCTAATCTCTTTAGCTATTATTTTATTAATCCATATGCTGAAAAACAGTCTTCTGGCATTCCAATCTGTGAGGTTGGGTCTAAGAAAAACCATTTCAAACTAATATCCAATTAGGATATATATCTTTTATTAAACTAGGCTAAGTGTGGTATAATTACGAAAATTGGCCAGGAGAGTAGCATGCTATGCTTTCAGTGGTTCTCAACCGTCCTAATGCCGCGACCCTTTAATACAGTTCCTCATGTTGTGGTGACCCCCAACCATAAAATTATTTTCATTGCTACTTCATAACTGTAATTTTGCTACTGTTATGAATCGTAATGTAAATATCTGATATGCAGGATATATTTTCATTGTTGTCGACCCACAGGTTGAGAACCGCTGCTTTATAGAAAAACCAGTGTAACTTTTGCTCAGTGATTCCAAGAAGAAAAAGAATAAGTCAAAAAGGGATTCAAAGTCATCAAGTCTAAAATTGTAATATCTGGAGTACAGTATGCAAAAGAGAATGCTGCCACAGCCAATCGCTGTAAAAAACTTTCTTGTCCAGAACTCAGGGCATGTCCTTATTTAACTCTCCTTCACCTTCCACCTCCGCAATATGGAGACAATGGACCACCTCAGGAACTCCAGAGTACCAATTAAGTGATGTTAACTCCTCCTGGGAGTGACACAGCCTAACCAGAGGTAAAAAGATATTCCTGGAGAGAGAGGACTACATCAATAACATCCAGAAAAAATGAACTTCCTTAGCACAAAATAGAGGATAAAGACTAAGAAAATATTTTAAACATATACGACAAAGATGTGATGTTGTAAATAGCTCTTAGCAATGAATAAGCAATAGTAAAAGGACATAAAAGAAATTCATAGGAGAACAAACACAAGTGGACTCAAAATTTCAGAAAGATGCTCATATCACTGGTGTTGAAAGAATTGAGATTAAAACCTCTGATTGGGAGGAATGAAGAAGAAAACAAGCACTCCCATACACTGATGATGCGAATCATTATAGCTGAGTGGATAAACAGGCAGGTTCTCAGGTACATCCTGGGTCGATGACTCACTATGTAACTCAGAACAGTGTTTTTCACATTAGAGTTTGATAACTCAATAACTTATTATTATTTGTATTAATGTTAAAATAAGAATAAAATTTTGGACAGCCCTCTTATATGAGAATGTATATTAAAATGAATATCAAATATATATCAAAAGCCCTAAAATTTTTCATAGTCTTTGGTCCAACAATTCTCTAAGTAATTAAAAAACTGTAGAGAGATTCTGATAAAATTATGTTTATCACAGCACAGGTTATAATGGTAAAATAATGGAAACATAAATATCAAAAATGGAAAGATAAATATATTATGGAATATTAAGAAGAATATTTTTTAAAGTTTATTCCTAGCTCATTGAAATAAAAAGTTCTTCAAAAACACATTAATAGGAAAAAATTATAAAACCATATGTAAATTTTAAAATTGTTTGTGTGTATATTTGCCAGACAATAGGGATGAGGGGGATGGGTGGAGACGGGAGAGAGTGTAGGAGGATAAATTGAGATGGAAATGAATAAATAAGTAAGTAAGTAAGTAAATAAATAAATAAATAATAACTTATACAACTCAACACCAGGAAGATATACAATTTAACTTAAAAAATGGACAAATGACCAGGCTGGTGTTGCACAGTGGTACAGGATTGACCTATGAACCAGGAGGTCATGGTTTGATTCCCAGTCAGGGCACAAGCCCAGGTTGCAGGCTTTATCCCCAGTGTGTTGTATGCGAAAGGCAGCCAATAGATGATTCTCTGTCATCACTGATGTTTGTATCTCTCTCTCCCTCTCCCTTCCTTTCTGAAATCAATAACAAAAATATATTTTTTAAATGAATAAAGGACCTGAATATACACATCTCCAAAGAGGACATACTGATGGCCAATAGACACATGAAAAATGCTCAATGTCACTAATCATCAGAGAGATACAAGTTAAAACCACAATGAGATATCACCTCACACCTGCCAGAATGCTACCATCAGTAAATCAGCAAACAATAGTGCTGGCAAGGATGTGGAGACAATGGAACCCTACTGCACTGCTGGTGGGAATGCAGATTGGTGCAGCAACTGTGGAAAACAGTATGGAGTTACTTCAAAAAATTAAAAATGGAGCCCTGGACGGTGTACCAAAAGGTTACCCCTGAAATTGCTGGTCAGGGTATATGTCCGGGTTTTGCACTCGATTCCCTATGGGGGAAGTGCAGGAGGCAGATGATCGATGTTCTGCTCTCACACTGATGTTTCTCTCTCTCCCTCTCTCTCTAAAAAATTAATAAAAATAATTTTTTAAATTAAAAATGGAACTGCCTTTTGACCCAGCAATCCCACTTCTGGGAATATATCCTAAGAATCCTGAAACACCAATCAGAAAGAATATATGCATCCCTATGTTCATAGCAGTGTTATTTACAACTAGTGACCCGGTGCATGGATTCGTGTACATTGAAAGGAAATTAACTAGAAGGTGGCCTGGGGGTGAGACTAGGTGAGATCGGCTGGACACACCCTGGAGCCAACCTCCCACAGTCCCTCCCCGGCATCTGCGAAGTGAGCAGGGTCCCTCTGACAGGTGGGGTCCTTGGGCCTGGCCTGTGGGGATCAGGTCAAAAATGGCTCTTCGACATCCTCCAAGGGGTCCCAGAGTGAGAGAGGGCACTCTGCAAAGTTTCTATTGTCCAGGATATGGAACACAAATGCAAATGTGTAGTAAACCAGACTCAGGGCCAACAGTGCCCCAGCAACAACATAACCCATTACCAAAAGTGGAATCGGGCTCCCTCCTCTATGGTTTTGGGGTGAGTCACCTGAGAACCACTGCTGCAAAGTCACTGCAGCTCTGCAGCTCCTGTGTTGAGTGTCTGCCCCTTGGTGGTCAGTGTGCATCATAGTGACCAGTTGGACCAGTAGGAGAGACACATAGCATATTAGCTTTTTATATATAGATAGATAGCTAAGATCTGGAAACAGCCTGAATGTCCATCAGTACATCTATGTATATAAAGAGGTAATATGCAAATTAGGCTGAGATGCCATAACAGTCACGACCAGTCAGGAGGAGGTTATGACACGCAGATGAGGCCCAGAGAGTAGATGGAGACAGAGACGGGGGGCCTGCCCGAGCCTGCATGGCAGCTCGGGCAGCCCGGAGCAGACACAGGCAGTGGGGCAGGGGGTCCTGGGGCTGGCCAAGGACACAGGCAGGGCAGGGGGTCCTGGGGCTGGCCAAGCTGCCACACCAGCTTGGGTGGCCCCAGAGCGGACACAGGCAGGGGGACATGGGGGGTCTGGGGAGGAAGTCAGGCCCGGGTCCCGGCCACCCGCCGCGCCAGTCAGGCCTAACTTCCATGGCGGCCTGAGAAGTAGGCAGAGGACAGACCACTGAGGGTCTTATATACCATAGCAGGGAGCTTAGATTTTATTCCACAGAAGGAGGAAAAGTGAAGAATGTCAAGCATGGGAGCATCCTGGTCTTGCTTTCATTTTCAGTGAACCATCTGGTGGCTGTGGGAAGGATCAGTTTAGACAGCTGCAGTGTTTTGGGGCCCAAGAAAAAGGGAGACTGATGTTGGGAACTAGGACTAGACAGAGGCAGTGGATCAGAGACATATTTATGAGGAAACCTGATGGAACTATTTGGCTGATTACACAGGAATGAAAGCAAACAAAGCAAATGGGATTAGCCCAGGTTTTCCAGTTTGAGCAACTTCATTGAATGAGTGATTCTAATTATTGGGAGAAGGTATTGAGGAAAAGGAGCAGTTTAAGGGAGCTTGCTTAGTTCAACAATAGCCAAACAATTAGGACAGAAGACAGACTTAGTGCTCTTTCTTTGCTGCAACGTTTGTTTTTCTGCCTTCAGCCACCACCATGTAAGGGTAATGTGCCATCTTTTCTCCTAATCTAGGATATTATCTATCTATCTACTACACATTCCTATCACCTAAATTAGCTTTCCTGCATTATCCCTTAAAAATACTTATCAAAGTCATTCAATGCTCTGTGAGTATGGGGACTTTCAAGATGTGGAAACATTATGAGCCTATATAGATTGATAAAGAGAAATTGGGTGCTCAATTTTTAACAATAAAAATCAAATACTGAATGTGGTCATGCCAGAGGCATACTTTTAATAAGCCAATGTTTCTTTACTGAAGTGTCACACTTCAAAAGAGATCCTCTCAAATAATACAATGCATAACACTCATCTGGGTTGCCTGTAAAAATGTAGGACCACACCTTGAAAAACATTCCTTCTAGAGCTTATTTTGGTGGATAAATCTCCCTCCAAGTAAAGCAATCCTATATAATAAAAGTATAATATGAAAATCAACCAAACAGCAGAACAACTGGTCAGTGGGGGGCAGGGCCAGAGAGCAGGTATTGCCAGGCCAGCCAAGGCGTATGCCAGCAGGCAGAGGGAGGGGATGGCGATGGGGTGGGGGGTGGCAACCTGCGGTGACAGGGCAATGGGGGCTGGCGCTATCCCATGATTGCCCACCTGGTTGCCTCCCGCAGAGGAAGGCCACGGGCGGCAGCAGCAGTGGGGCGATTCGGGGCAGGGCCACCCAGTACCATCCCAAGATAGGCCTGCTGGGGTCGCCTTACCCAGAGGGAGGCTACCAGTGGCCATCGTGCAATTGGGGGCGGGGCCGGCCACTTGCTGCTCACACTAACCCAATCAGCCCACCGGTCACCTCCCACAGAGGGAGGACAGACTGTGGCTTAGGCCCGCTCCCCACTCTCCTAAGTCATCAGTAGGACATCCCCAAGGGGTCTCCAATTGGAGAGGGTTCAGGGTAGGCTGAGGGAACCCCCATTGCATGAATTTCGTGCACCAGGCCACTAGTGAGTAGATTAAAAAGCTATGGTACATTTACACAATGGAATACTCACGGCCTTAAAAAAGAAGAAAATCTTTTTTGTAATAGCGTGGATGGAGCTAGAGAGTATTATGCTAAAGTGAAATAATTCAGTCAGAGAAAAACAGATATCATATGATCTCACTTATATGGAAAGTCTAATGAACAAAATAAATTGATGAACAAGATAGAAACAAAGGCGTGGATACATGGAACAAAATGACAGCTAGCAGAGGGGAAGGAGGTGATGGGGACTGAATGAAAGAAGGTGAATAGATTAACTCAAGAACATATATGCATAATCCATAGATACAGACAAAAATGTGGTGATGGTCAGAGGGGAGAGGGTAGGGTATGTGGAGATGGGAAAAGTGGGGGGAAAGGGACATCTGTAATAGTATCAGCCATAATAATAACGAAAAAAGTATTTTTTTTTTAAAAAGTAACTGTGGGAGTGTGGCACAATTTTATTGATTTTGTGATACTTTTCTAGATAATCTAAATTTACCGAATGTGTTTGACCTTTATAATCTTTTTTAAAAAGCTGTTTAAATTTTCAAAACAATGTGCTATTATGAAAGCACATTTAATGACACAGAAAAATGATCACTTTATATTGATAGGTGGGGAAATAAAAGTATATAGGGGGACTTTTTTGTAAAAAAAAAAAGCACATAATAAAAATGAAACTTTGTAGGTCAATATGTTAATAGTGTTTATCTGTGGAATGTGAGTATAGACGTTTCTTTTCTCCTCTTTTTTCTTACCTGTTTTTCTACATTTCAAAATAAATCATTAAACAAAAATATAGCATGTCATACTATAGATTATACAGCCACAAAAATGTGTTTTAAAAAATTTTAATAACAGGAAGGGAAAATGACTACAGGAAATGCACTAAAATGTTAAAGTCCTATTAGGATTTTGTTTTCTTCATTATACTTTTAAA